CGCGTGATATCAGGGATCAAATCTGGGACCCTGTACTTGCCAGCCAGGCATTTAGACTGCCTAGCTACCTCCCTGACCTCATTCTTAACCTTCAAAATGAGACTCTAGATCCTATTTCTGTATTATCCCTAAAAAGCTGATAGGATTAAGTGGGTGGGGGCTCATAATCCAGGTCTGATTTGTAGAGCACTTTGTGTTTCTAAAGCACTTTCTTAAAACAGAAACAGCATCAAACAAAAGTCAATGAGGATCAATCCATATTTTTTTTTTTTTGCAGAACCAGGGATTAAACCTATACCCTTGCCCTTGCCCAGGAAGCGCTTATACTCCTGAGCCATCTCCCCGCCCCAGCAATCCAGATTCTTGGAGCCTAAAGTTACTGCCTGGTTTCCTGGGAAACTGAGCACCCAGCCACCTCATCCAGCCTGGTGAGTCTTCCCCCTTCCAAGCACAGGTACACTATCTGCCCTCAGTCAGTCTCCCCTGTGAACTACAGACCAGGACGCTGTCAGTGCTCATTTTGGTATAGATTCAGATGCCTTAGAATAGAAATAGGCTTTTATCCAGAATTATTTGAGATCTGTGGTAAATTTCTATATTTTCCTCTTATGTGTTGAAAAGTTCTCACTAGTAGTTCAGGCTTGTCTTAAAAACACTCTATACACAATTGCCTCAAATCTACTGCAAGGTCTGCCTCAGCCTCCCACAGGCAGGGCATTCAGGCATGATCCATATGCCTATCTATCAACTCCTACATTTAAAAGCATCCATTCATTATTCGTTTATACTGTGATTTCAACCTAGGACCTTCCCACTGAGTTACATCTCAGCCCATTGGTCATGTTTTGTTTTTAGACAAATTCTCAGATACTGTCTGGCCCAAGCTGAACTCAAACTTGCAATCATCCTGGTTCAATATCCTATCCTGGTAGGATCAAGTGGATGTGTATTCATTCAGTTTTTTTTTTTTTTTTTCCGGAGAATGTTCTCACCGTGTTACTATGTTGCATTACCTGAAAACAAATTTCATTACATCCCCAGCTATAATTTCTTTTGGGTGTCACGAGGCAGTTCAGTGAACAAGTTCTCTTAGCTGGATACAAAATACGCTGCATTTCAAGCTTCTCTGTAGCCACTGTTCTCACAAAGTTACCCAGTTCCCTAGGCTGAGTTGGAACCCCTGATTGTCCTGCCACTCCCTCATAAGTGGTGAAATAAAATCCATGAACCAATACTCCTGTTTACGGGATTGCTAAATACTTTTCCTTCTCTTCCCTAAAATGTTGTGATCATATGAATGTATAAAGTAGGTTTTCCTTTTCTAAAAAGAACTGAAAAATATTCTACACAATATGTTTTAAAGGGTTTTAGTTGGACATAGTGGAGCATGACTGTAATCCCAGCACTTCAGAGGCTGAGGCTGGGTGATTATCTTCAACTTTGAGACCAACCAAGCCTTCCTATTGACTTCAATCACAGTCTCAGTTATATGAGATACTGTCCCAAAAAGCATACCAAAACAACAAAAAAAAGTGAATCACTTTCATTGCTATTTCTGTTTCTATGTGGCAAATTTCACATCTAAGGAGAAGAATGTACATGACTGTATGTGTCAGTATTTTCCATCTTTTTGTGTGTGTGTATGTATTTAGTACAGGGTCTATAGGGTCTCTTCGTAGCTCCGACTCTTAGGGATTCTCCTGTGGTCAGCCTCCCAGGTTCTGGGATTACAGGTGTGCCACCATACCCAGTCTCAATAGCCATCTAGGCATCCCTACGGGGCAAGATTAGCACAGCGTGCTGGGAATCAAACCCTGGCAGCTGCACTCTGCCTAAGCAGGCGCTTTAATCCACTGAGCTATTTGGCCATCCCTTTCCATCCTGATTTTATTGTGCTCTATAATATTAGTTGCTGAATGGATTTTACACTGTTGGCTGGAAATCTGTTACTACTACGTAAAATGGCTATAACCTGCAAGAAAATGAGAAAGGGAATTACATCCCCGTAGGCTTGGAAGTTTGGAGCAAATAGATAATGCTCTGTTTTAGCAGTGAGAGATTGCAGTGAGGGAGAGGAGATAACAGCAGCCCTGAGTCAAGTTCTGCAGTGAGATTTCTGGGACAGCCTCTCACAGCAAGGTATCAGCAAATTTAGCTGGGCTTGGTGCAGTGTGCCTGTAATTCCAGCCCTGTGGAGGCTGATGCTGGAGGATCCTTGCACGTTGAAGACCAGCCTGAGCTTTACAATATACTTTTTGTTTACTTTTTTGTATTTTAGTGCAGGGATAACAGGATCTCACTACATAGGTCAGACTGCGTGCGCCACCATACCCAGTCTCAATCGCCATCTCAGCATGCCCCAGATTTGGGCCGGCATGGCAGGCCTGGGGATTGAACCCCTGGCCTCTGCATCAGCCTAAGCAGGCTCTTTAATCCGCTGAGCTATTTGGCTGGCCCTGTATTAAGACCCTGTATTAAACAAATAACCAAACAAACAAACAAAAATGATGTTATTGTATTTTGGTTTGCTTTTTTTGGTTTTCCAAGCTTAGTGAGCTTTTACCTTTTTTTCTTTCTTTCTTTTTTTTTCTTTTTTTAAAATTTTATTTATTTATTTGTGTGTGTGTGTGTGTGTGTGTGTGTGTGTGTGTGGCCAGCTCAGCCCACCAGGGGGCGGGGCTGGCTGGCATGTGGTGCTGGGGGATTGAACCATGGTCCCTGTGCTTGTCAGAAAGGTGCCTAAGCTGCAGAACTCTCTTCCCACACCAAGGATGACCCTTAAACTTTCAATGTAGCCCATGCTGCCTTTGAATTCTCAGGAACACCCAATCTCCATCTGCAGAGTACTGGATTAGAGGTGTGGCCACCATACCTGGTTTGACGCAGGAAATTCCCAGAGGCAACACCAGGTTTTGCCTAAGTCAGTTCTGGCCTTGACCTCACAAGGCCATGACTTAATGAGGGAGGTGCTAACAAGTCCTCTGGCTTCTTGGTGAGTGCCCTGAGGCAGGTGAAGTCATCTGCCCAAAGCCACGCAGTTCCCTGAGTGCAGGCAGTAAGAGAGTAGGGGGAAAGAGAGAAAGTCATTCTGTGGCATCCCTCTCCAGCTCCCCCAGGCTCCAACTCCGATAGTCTAAGGCCCTCTCTGTTTCATTCCCCTTCTCTCCTGTGGTTTCCACTTTCAGTACTTGCTAAACCACCCTTCCCCCTTCCCTTTCAGTAACACCCTTCTCCAGGTTGTGTGATCCAAACATTTCTTGCCCTGTTGAGCTTATTACTTATTTGTTTTCCCCCAAGCTAAAATTCTTTGTTCTCTTTCAAGCCCCAAGTCCACCTGAGTCTACTTTATGTACAGTGGATCCCACAGATTCATGGGGTTTAATGTTCCTAGTGCAACTGGAAATTGCAAAAAGCCAGAATTTCAGATGCGGTGAGATAAATGTGTATAAATGCCCATGTTCATGTTGAAAATCTAAATATGTTCTCTCCCATAATCATGCAATATAATCAAATACTGTATTGTAAAATCCTCAGACTAGGGCCAGGGAGATGGCTCAGTGGAATAAACGCTTCCCTGGCAAGCGCAAGGGCCTGAGTTCAATCCTCGGTTCCGGAAAAAAAAAAAATTCCTCAGACTGTGCAGGGTGCTTTGGCACATCTGAGGGACATTGGGCCTTTAAAAACAAAATCAACACCAATTGACATAGCTGAATGCTGCACAACAACTTGGGTGTACAGAATGCTGGTACCAAAGATGGGCTATAGTGCAATCACCAAGTAGCAGCAGAAAGGACTGAATACCACTCTTAGATGGCCAATTGTCAGACCTCCTGTACCACAAAAGTGCACAGGCCATTTGATGTTTGCGTAAATTTCATAGGATCTCTACAAGCAAATATGAATTAGGATCTAAAGAAAATTTTAGAACTGACAGGCTCTGAACTCAAAACACAGTCTTCATGAGGTTACCCTGTGTTTTCACTGAACAAAAGGTTTTCCTAGTGAAAGAATTTCCCAAGCAAGCTCTTCCCACTTCTGAGTGCTTGTCCCACTGAGTCTGTTTCCACTGTCTGGTGGTGGATGAGCCAGTGAGCAAAAATGGAAGTATAAAAAGCAGAGCTGTCTCTGCTTCTGTCAGTCTGGGGTAGCAGGAGAATGTAGGATTCCATGTTTACATGAAATGGAATCTCAAGACATTTATTTTTTTTTAAATTTTATTTATTTATTTATGTGTGTGTGTGTGTGTGTGTGTGTGTGTGTGTGTGTGTGTGTGTGT